TCTAAAGCGCCTTGTTTCAAATCTCTTGAATTTCCCTGAGGGTGTCTTGCCCATCACTTATCTGGGTGTTCCTCTGATTGGTAATCGTTTATCATATATGGATTGTTCAAACCTCTTCAACAAGATAACAGGTCAATTCCAGGCTTGCTTGAAAAACAAGTTTCTATCTTATGCAGGCAGATTACAAATAATCAGAAGTGTTGTTCTTGGTATACAAAACTTTTGGACTTCAAACTATGTTCTGTCTGTGAGAGTGCTTCAGAAAATAGATGAATTATGTAGGAATTTTTTTTGGGGAAATTCTGAGCAGGCTCATAAAACTCCTCTCATTTCATAGGATAAAGCATGCTTGCATAAGAAATTTGGAGGTCTAGGCATATACTCTGCTTCTACATGGAGTATAGCTTCAACACTGAGGTTACTCTGGAATATACATGTTAATAAAGAAAATCTATGGATCAAGTGGATACATGGCACATATTTGAAAATTTGTGATGTCTGGCATGTTCAGGCAAAAAAAAGTGATTCGTGGATGTGGAGACAGATCTTGAAGGTCAGAGACAAGGCTCAGGGACAATTTGGAGGTGTTGATAATCTGATTCAGGCCATCTATTCTTGCTGCAAGAATTCAAAAATCTAACTTTCTACTTTATATATTGCACTCTCCCCTACACCTACTTTGGTGCCTTGGTTTGGCACAGTATGGGAGTCCTCTAATTACCCCAGACATGCATTTATTAGTTGGTTAACAGTCCAGAACCGTTTGCTTACCCATGACTGATTGATCAAGACGGGGGTTGTTAACATAAATAGCTGTTGTTTTGCACTGGTTTTGAACGCAGGGATCATCTTTTTTTTTTGAATGTTCCTATTCTAGTGATATTTGGGCCAATGTCATGAATTGTTTGCAGTTCAGGTGGAGATCGAACAATTGGAATCAAGTTTTGAATTGGTTATGTAACAGGTTGAGGGGGAGGGGCTTTAAGCAAAAGCTAAAGAAATTGGTTTTTACCTCAACAATTTATAGCATATGGAATGAGAGGAATGGCAGGATTTTCATACATGAATTGAAGCCAGCTGATCAAGTGTTTAAGGAGATAAAATTCAGCATTTTAACTATTATTCTCAATGGACCTTGTACTGCTGAAAACAGAGAATGGGTTTGTTCTTTGTAGCTTTGTGTATGAGAGATATATAAGTAGAATAGGAATTTTTTTGTAATTCTCAGTTCAAACTGAGAATCTTGATGTGCTGATTTTCACATTTGGAAGATGAATAAATACTTTTCATTGACCAAAAAAACAATCTAGATAGTAAATACAAGTAAAAGCGATCAACTCAGTGATATTTTGTGACATTACGGACGATATTTAGATCCGCAATTTCTTCTAATTAACCTTGATTATAATAAGGTGACCACCTCCATTTTCGAGAATCATTCAAAACCAGATAACAGTTCCTCCATTTTCAAGTAAATATAAGATATATAATTTTATTAATTCTAGTCCCCTAACAAGCTGCACCCTGACTAGAACGGGAACTGCCCTGTATATGACCTTAATCATTTAAGTTAGTGCAAATACATGTAAATTTGTTCTTTCCTTCCATCAAGCTACTACTTCTTGGCTAATTTAAGACATAGATATTGGTAGAATCCTCACTTGAACTTTGAAACGCAGCGGTGCTGATTCTCTGGTGTCTAAACTATTACTGATCTGCAGCTGCTAGAAACTAGACATGTCTGTACTTTGTCAAATTATATTATAAGTAAGACCTGGTTTCATTAGGTATTGCTGGTATGAAATGGCTTAGATTATAAATTTGATATCCTCAAGTTATATTATTTACTTATTTTCATCAAGATAAAATTATTTGTATTACCCTGGTTTTGATTTATATATACAAGGACACCGTTACGTATGGTTTCCTTCGGATTTTATCAAAAGGACAAGTGAGAGCTGTGAGACCAATTTACATAAAGACAAATTACGTGCAAAGAGTAAAAGTGGGTAACTATTACTCTTTTCCTCAAAAACAAAGAAATGAAAAGAGGAAAATTATTATGAATTTTCAAGTTAAGGTGCATCAATGCTCTATTGTTACCATCCATCTGATATTTATTTATAGGCATAGAAAATAATTAATGTTCAGCAATATTTTTATTTTTATTTTCAAGAGGGGTTAATTGTGGACAGACCCGTACCATCGCACAGTTGCGAATTGAAGGCTTGTTGTTCTATCGTTGCAGATAGATCCCCTAAGTAAAAAAAAATTTGGAGAGAAAATCATCTAATGGCAAGTAGAATTTCTGAGGATAAAAGAGAAAAAAATTCATATGGGAGGCTTCTCTTCGACAATAGAACTATAGGGGATATATCCGCAATTTGACTCTTTTAAAATTAGGCACGTCTTGGTTCCCAGAAGCCCAAAACTTATTCTATCTCATGAAGAATGAACTATAACGTCAGTCATACCAATGAACTACAACAGAAAGGACTGCGAATTGGTGAAATAATCAAACTACAAATTTTATATTCTGAAAGTAAACCCTTTATGGTCCAATATTTCAGTCATTGGGCACTCAGGAGCATAGACAATAACGAGCTGCATCAGCAATTAGATCTATGGCTGTATCATTTAATCTGATATATTGTTGTAGAGGAGAGAGGAGAAGAAAATACAAAAGAACCAGACTGTGTCCAATCAATCGCCATAAAGAGCATGAGAAAGATAACAAACTCTCCAAAGAGTATGAAGCAAAAGTCCTAGAAAAAAGAGCTTGTTTTGCTCCAATTCCATAAAAGTTCAAGCTCTTATTAATTATGACTGCAAAAATAATAACAACTCACTTAAGATTTCTGGTCCTTTAGATAGCATGGGATATCACTGTTCTTGTTACAACATGTTATTAGACAACCCACATGGTGCTGATCTCGTCTTAATTGTGATTGCTTCAAAGCTAATCCCAATTTGAAAGAAACTTGTGACTCTGAAGTCATTCAAGAGACTGAAACACAAGTTTAAATCATAAATAAATAAACAAAATCCTCGGGATGATAAATTGAACCCTCTTCTGTGACGTCACCATGATTGTTTATTTGAACTCAGGTTTTAGGAATAGATAAGGTGCATATTGCAGTGGCAATTAGTTGGGGAAAAAGTCAATTAATTCTCTTCTTCTTCTTCTTCTTGGTGTTATATATTATTAGCAAATATACAGGGAAAATAAGGTGAAAAAAAATTGATTAATAGTCATCAGGATCGGATAATCTTATTTTTGTTTTGGAAAAAGTAAGAAATATACTGAAAGAATGTCCAAAAAAACTTGGGCAGGTCAGATAAAGCTTAGATAGTGAGAAGAGATACATTCCTAAGCACATCAAAATGTAATGTTACGATTGCCATTCCTCCATATGTAGACATTTTGTCTATACACATAGCAATTAAGATGGTCCCCACAATAAGATGTCGTTGTTATAGGTGAACAGTCTCATGTGAAAATTTTATTTATATATAGGAGAAATATGTTTTCTTTCTCAATCATGCATATAAGTTTGTCAGAATACCATAAATGATAATACAACATGGAGGATATGTCAAAAACAACAATTGTGTGGAAATGATAAAACAGCATTAATAGATTTATAATCTACAATTATCCAGTACACGCATGTTTAAAACAAGACCAGTGACCAGTTGACCCGACTTTTCTCAAGAAATTATAGTCCGAATTTGTTCGATGAAGATGTAATGATAGAAACAGGA